CAAAGATGTGCGTCAAAATACGCGCTGTTGTCGTTAAGGACTTTTTGTGTGGTAAAGAATACAAAATTTGCTTGACAACCAATACGCGCTCGTTTCGACGCACTACTGTGATTTCACGAACAATCTACTTTGATTGTGTTAGTTCGTGATGTGAGCGACGATATATATATATATATATATATCAGTGGCGGAAGGGTATTCAGGTATTAGTCTAATACCTTCAAAATTTCCAAAATATATGCTTTTATGCTCTCTTTATTTCGACAAAGTAACGAATATATATATATATATATATAAAGATTAGTTTAGTGCAATAAAATTGATTTCAACAATTTTGACATTCAAGCATATTTTGGCCATTATCTCTGAAACATGATTTGTGACGAGTGACTGATTTGGCTTGTGTTTGCCACAAATGATAACATCTTGCTTTTCTTGCCCATATGTACAGTACTACCAAGCCCACCTGTTAATGTGACGATATCTATTGTGCGTGGTGAACAGATTATTGTCATCTTTCACTGGGACACCATGGCAAGTGCACTTCCTACCCAGTACTACAGTATTCAGGTATGGCACTAGCCACTACTTTATTTTCACAGACATTTACATTAAAATACACTTATTATTTCAGAGATTGTGGAATGGAGTTGTAGGTACCATGCTTTCCAAAACTCATTATGAGACTTATTTGGTCAAACTAACCAGGTACTTGTGATTCTTAGTATGATGAGAATTAAAGTATTTTTTCAATTACCATTTAGGTTAGACGACTACAAACTCCCGGTGTTCCCACAGGTAACACCACGTTTTACGACTGGCACACATTTGGCACAGTCTATGGTCCCAAGAATCGCATAGCAGTGAGGAACTCAGATGAAACAGGCTTATTTGAGGGAAATTTTGAAGCGCGTATCATTTCAGGGAACAAGTATGGCGAGACAGTGTCAAAGGTTATGAAATTTAATGGTAAGAAAGCAATCAATCTGGGACTTATATTATAAGGCATGTTTGCACACATAAATACTTTTAGAGATTACTTATAAGATTCAAAATATTCTAATAAATAAATTCATGCTATATTTCTATTCTTTTCTTATAATTTTTTTGCTACAATAAACTTTTTTTTTTTTCATTTTTTACAGTTGCTAAATATCTTACTGGAGGATCATCTATCAATCATCCAAGCATCATAATATTGATTATTTCTGTTTTATTGATCCTGATTAGTTTTGCATCATCTTATGATGTAGTAAAACTGTAGTACTGTATATGCTGGGTTTTAGTATATCAAGCAAGGACCATCTTTCAGAATTTTATCATGATTACCAGGGTGGTGGGGGGGGGTTCAGTGGGTGGGGGGTGCACTTGCCTCTACTCACTTATCTATTCTGAATATGTTGTGCCTCTCTCCCTGTTTTTCTGGACCCCCCTCTGATTACTGCGCCCTCCTATTAACACCCCTGATTGCAGAATGATAATTATTGTGTTATATACCCAGTTCACATAAAATGTTGCATGGGATATGTTTAATATATTACAAAGACTTTATACAGAAATAACCACCACCAGAGGTCCAAAATCTCCCACAATTCGCAGGAGTCTCCCAGAAATTGGGACGGCCTCTAGCACTTGCGCAAGCAAGCAACGTGTAATTTAAATAATTGAAGTTATTCTATAAAGTGCTACCAGTGTTTTTATTCCATATGTCTACCAGACCACACAGCTCCATTTACTATTATATGCAAGCAAGCAAGAGTCCCCGAAAAATAACCTGTCTCTGCAAAATCATAATATTTACTGCTTTATTTAATATTTTATTTCTTTCTTTATACTGTATCTGGGGAGGATGCAGGATTTGGCGGTAGGGGGTGCGTGATAATCAACACCACCTTAGCCCCACCATGGTTGGGGCTGAGGCGAGAACATTTTTAGAATGTAGACCTCAAGGTGCCTGGCAATTGCACTCTCATACTTTTAAAATCTCTGAAAAGAACATA